AAAAAGTAGCGGTGACAGTGTGCATCCCTGTCTGATTCCCTTTCTAATACTTACTTCATTACGTTGCAGCCCCAGCTCTATAACTGCCTGTTGTTCTTTATACAAACTAAGTATTACTCTTCTATCTTTGTAACTCATCCCTACATTTTTAAGTATATTTAACATCTTGTCCCATTTAACATTATCAAAAGCTTTTTCTAAATCTACAAATCCTTCTTATTTACGCCCTCCTTCTTTTTTCTATCGTTTTCTGTATTGTTACCCGTAAAGCTAGAATGGCCTCCCGCGTTCCTCTATATCTTTTAAACCCAAATTGATCTTCCCCTAATAGTTCTTCCGTCCTTTTTTTCATCCTCCTCTGTACAATTCTAGTTCAGATTTTTGACGCATGGGAAGTTAAGCTAATTGTTCTAAATGTCTCGCACCTATCTGCGCCTCTCTTTTTAGGTATGGTTACTACCACGTTCTGTTTATAATCCTCTGAAACTTTCCCCGTATCGTAAATGTGACTAGCTAGCGTAAACATACGATCTTTAACCACTAGTCCTGCATGTTTTAGAATTTCCCAAGTTTTTCTCAAATTGCTGTCATACGTCCTTCTAAGGGTACCAATCAATGTAAATGATATATAAGTTTAAAATTTAGTAATATCTCTCACAGAGGGCATGGTCTAGAGGTTTAGACTATTGCTTAGCTTTCGGGAGGACACAGGTTCGATTCCGGGATCACTTGGGCAAATGCTGGGGCAGTAATATCCTACAGATAATTTTTCATTCTCTTCTGTCTTCATTTCGTCCGTATCATCTTTCTCACCCGAACCACCACCTACCCATTCCCGATATTTCTGAAAAGAGGGACTGCCTGCCTTCCAGCAGTACTGGCTGGTGGGAATGAAACACCCAAAAGTTGTTTTAAAGATTTTTGATATCTCTAATATGAGGGTAATCCCGATCGTGTGACATTAGATGAGATGGTAAGCATTCCGTCTACACTGAATTGTAGAATATGCTTCTTCTAGGAGTATACGTATATTATAAAGTAACCTTAAATGGTTTTACGATAGAAAAATGCTTATTTTAGAAAGGATAAGTAATAAAATTAATATCCATTGGCGTTCTGAGGAAACAGCAACAGATCACGCAACGTCGTTGTCAGCTACTCGAGAATTTCTACTTTTGCATCCTGAAATTGATAAAATTATTCTAATTCAAGTAACGTCTCCATTTATTAATGAAAAATATTTACAACATGCTGTAAACGAAATGCAGCATTACGAATGCGTTTTCTCTGTAACGAGGTAAGTCATACATGGGTCAGAGGAATTGGTAATAATTCTGAACGGAAATGTATGAAATAAATAGGTCTTTCAAGTTACGATGGAACAAAACGGGAAAAGGAATACTTCCTATCAACTTTGATCCTAAACGAAGACCTCGTAGACAGGATTGGGATGGTGAACTTATAGAGAACGGAATGTTTTATGGTGCTAAAAGGGAAATGATAATGAATGGCTATTTTCAAACTGATAAGTAAGTAGTACGTATTTAACAAAATATTTGATTCGCCTTTAATTAATACAGACAGTATGATTCCAACTGAAACTTTATTATGACAATTGTTATGCATTTAAAATTTTAAAAGGATTTGTTAATGATGATGAAATTAAGGCTGAAGGTTTTAACACAATGTTGACTGGATTCTGGGTATACTAATTATCATTTTCATTCTCCTTTTGTAAGGTTATGTCGAAATTGGAATGCACTACCTACTTTGTGAAGTGAGAACGATTGAAACTATATAGACTATTTTAAAACTTGTAATGCAGTTGAATATAATGTTATCCAATTACAGTTTATTTTATTATTAAATCTATTGTTGTTTTATCTTTGTTAATCAGTTTAGATGTGCTATGTCCGCCAATTTTTATTAATATTTTATTACTGCACTCAAATTAGGATTTTTACGTGTACTAGATTTTTGAACTAATTTGTAATATTTAATTTTTGTTTGAGAAGAATTTATTCGTTTTCAATTAGAGATAGGCATAATCAAATAATCGAATGATTCTGACAATCGAATAATCGGCACACGAATGATATTAACAAGCATTCCAATAACTTAATTCCCAATGATAACGTCGCATTCGCGGTTCGAAAACTACTTGTATTTGAGTAATCGCCATTAAATTGAGATTGATGATTTGACAACGTAAGCATAACAAAAGCGAATCGACAACTAACTGAAAATTTATTTTCAGTAGAAACATTTTGTTTCAATGTTCCTTAGACATGCCCTTATTAAAACTCTATTATTATGAAACTCTGTTTTTCGGAACTACCACTTGAAGTTTGTTTCTGGTTCCATCTGGACTCTCCCATATTGTTTTCAAACCGCCGTGGTCTAAGGCAAGGGAAATCTCTGGGCCCAATAACTTATCGTTGCCTGACTTATGTGGCTCACATCTATCCACGATGGTGTTCAGTTTCCCGCTTTTTTTCCATCTTATTGTTGGTCCAATGTCTTCGTCTTTCCTCTGGTTTTCGATTAATTAGTTATTTTCCCAGGATCCTTCAGGCTGAACGATGGTTAGATTGCAACAAATCGATGCCAGCTCTTTCTTCTTCTTGGCAGATGAACAATAATTGCAGTTTTTCACGTATGATCTTCGAGATAGTGAATCTGCGTTGTCGTGTCATTTGACTGGGTGATGCTTGATGTCGAACTTGTATTCCTGAAGTCGTTGTAAGCATGGTGTAATTTGTCCTTCCGGGTTCTCGAATTGTAGTAGCCACTTCAATGAGACCTAATCCGTTCTTAAGAGGAACTTCCGTTCATACATGTAGCTACTTCTTTCGAGGGTTTTAGCCACATTCAGAAACTCTTGACAAGTAACACAATAATTTCGTTCTTGTTTCGAGAGTGCTGTACTAAAGTACCCAATGACCTTTTCCTTTCCGTCTTGTATTTGGGATAATACACCGCCAAGTTCCACATTGATAAAGGGTTCGCTGAATTTTTCTTTTCTATTTTTTGTGTCATTACCGCCATCACTGTCATTAATACCTTTATTTGATCCTTCATTTACATCTGGTTGTAACTGGCATCAAATATATTTCGATTTCTTCTAGAAAGTTCTATAAAATTCTTCGATTTTGGCAAAATCATTCTTCTTTCTTCGCAAGCTTCCCAATGATGCATGACATACTAGGGTTATTAACGATCCGTTGAAACTTCCAGATGAAATTCTCCTTAGGGTTATTTGATATTCATATGGCTTTGATTATATCGCGAACTGTGTTTATTTCGGAGAAGAGGCGAATTCGATATTGCTCTATCATAAAACTATACCAAAAAGTTTATTGCTTATTAGTATGATGGCAAAAAAGTATTTTATAACTTTTTTGTAGTTTCAAAAATGCATTACTTCAAACTATTAAGTTGCACATCGCCTGATGCGGCTTGACAGACTAAACCTTTCAATTTCAAATAAAGGGAAAAAAAGTTTCCTTACAGTTTACATAAAGTTTTCTACAGGTGTAAAATCTTTGATAAGTACGGATTTTGCGAAAACATAACTTCCCTTTAAAAGACGTATAAAGATGAAACAGAAACAAAAAATTATTATTATNCAAAGATCTATGTAAACAGAGTAATTAGAAATTAATGTATATACTTATTTTTAAGAATGATATTTTAAATGAGTGCGGACTGCATCGAAACTATAGTTGCATTGATAATTATGATAAATAAGTAATAAACAACGAAGTAGCTTTTATTTCTCGTTATTCATTCTAAATTGTTACTGAAACTATGTCTGTGTAACTCCTGAATGAGCCCTGATATTTAACGTAATTTTTGAGAAAGGTATTATGACCCCTAGAAACCCTTTTTGCTTGATACGTGGATGAAATGTTAGATTTCAATATAAAACATTCAGCATCTGATATAGACTGATATATATCCAAATAAAGGTGTTATTTTTCTCAGCATAAATGATTTTTTTAATCCTAATATTTATGTATACCTCCATTCTTCTCTAAAATATTTTTCTTAAAATTTGTCAAGAAAAGCTATATAGTAGGTTAGGTATGTTTTTGATTGAAGAAATCAGAAGCTCAGGGGGGTAAATTGGTTGTGATATTTAAAAATACTTAAACTGTACGTTTTATATAAGTAATGAACTCAACTAGCCACAATAAGAACTATTTAGTCGTGCGATATTAATCAATTGGATACAATGGAGATATACTACAATGTATGTAGTTGTAGTCTAACAAAATTTGAGTACTTACAATCGGCTGGATTACTCGGTCGTATTAATAATGAAAATTATCGTTATTGTTATTTGCTGCTTATCAGTTTCTTCATTATGCTGCAACAAATATAATCGGTAAGTAAAATTTATTCTTTTGAAGATAATATATTCTAAACCTATGTTATGTCAAACATTAATATTTTTATAATAATATAAATAAGCAACCTTGTTTGATTTTAGACTCTGTAGAAGAAAAAGATTAAGTTAATTGATTTTATAATTCAAGTTGTTTTGTTATCATTTGAATTAACTGTACATCAAGTAGCATGATACCTTTTTTAGGAAGGGGATCCATGGGTTTACAATTGAGTATTGTTGACGGGGGAGGGGAGGGTGACACTATTCGTTATTCGTCATATTGTAAACAAGAGCGTAAATAAATGTTTTTTTCAATATGAGGTTATATTCGGCTTGAGAGGTGGTATGCGAATGAAAGGGGAAGAAGAGGGTGTACAAGTTCGGCAAAAAAACTTAATTTTATTAATAAGTTTGCACACCTCGTGAAGCCGTTCGGTGAATTAAATCTTCTACCTTCCAACTTCAATTAAAATGAAGAAAAGCTTCTCCAAAGTTTACATAAAATTATCTACAGAAAATGTAAAATCATTAAATAGTAACCAATTTTATAATTTCAATTAAGTTTATATGTCATAATGTCAAAGTAATAATATAATTAACCTGCAAGTTAATACATCACAAAAATAATTCACATTGCCTGATACATCATCTTACGTTTCTGCATAATGTATACTGCATGCTACATAGTTTAAAACTAGCAATGCTCAGTGCCTTCTATAACCGCGGAAGTGGCAATCGTTTACTTTAAAAAATTAATTTTAAGCTAAAATTCTATTTATTATATACCATATAAATCAAATTGAGGTCAATGATAGTGGCTGTTGACTATTATTGCTCTTGTTTTTAAGAAGTACATAAATTGTAGTTAGCTATCGTACTTGTAATTATCGTACTTATTTGTAATGATCGAGCATTAAGCTGTATTTCATAAAGTATTCAAAAAGCGAGCGATAACAGAGATGGTTTGATTTTTAGTTATGAAACAAATTAAAGAAAGAGAAGAGTGGCTGAGCGAAATGGAAAAGTTAGGAGAAGGTTATAAATATAGAACACTAATCAAGCAGCAGATTGAAGAAAAATTAAGAGAAATGGAGAAATTAAAAGTTGTAGATACGCCAGTTATTTCCACCCAAAATTCGGCACGTCTTAATGAAAATCAGAAAAAATGAAGGATCATTTATTTTATTTACATTTACAATATTTCTACCGATTTTTACATGCACTTTTTGTGGTCTTTGTTTTGTTTAATAAAAGAATATTTATTTGTAATTTATTCTGTAGTTTTAAATTTTATTACTGACGGTTATTGATACTAACAAAGGTCTCAACGGCTTTTGAACACAGCCCGTTTATTTCATATGATTCACTTGCTTCAAAGGTTGGTAAATAAACTAGACAAAGACTGTATATCGAACCGAAATTAATTATTATGTGCCCTAATATACAAGCAGCCAACTGGTAATGTAAGAGTGTAATATTTTATAATAAAAAAAAACAGTCAACAATGTTTCTCTAATTAGGATTAATGTGGGGTTTGATAAGTAATAATAATAAATATTCCAGGAAATTCAAAATATTTCAAAAATTACCAATGACGAAAAAAATAATTTTATTAAAATTGAATAATGTTTTGATTCAAATGTACAAACCATTTTATTTAAAAGAATTAAGTTGTCTAAGCACTCGTATA